TTGGCCTCACGGCCGACGGTACCCAAATTCTCGACAAAAGAGCAGTTTCCTTTATCTCTGGGTCCCAGGAGGGCACGGAGAGTTGCGGACGGACTAACGCCGGACCTCACTCATCCTCCTCCTTCGCCAGCCGGCAGCAGCGGGCGGTTCGAGAGCGTCAACAAAGGCCCTACTCACGCACCCTCTGCCAACCCGTGGAACCAGGTGAGCCTTGCAACCCACACTCACACACCTCTCCGGCCCGCTCACAAGCCGCCCAAGTTGGGTCCCTGTGTTCCACCTCGCTGCCCCACTGCAGGTACAGCTGTGGTCCCGCTGGTCCCGCTTGTACGGTTTCTGGGCGCCTGGTCAGCGCTACCCAGCCCGTCTCGCTGGCTTCTGCAGACCATCAGCCTCGGATATGCGATTCAGTTCACCCGGCGTCCCCCCCAAGTTCAGTGGTATCCGCTTCACTACAGTGAGGACGGCCGATGCCCCTGTTCTGCGGGCAGAGATCGCAGTCCTACTGGCGAAGGATGCGATAGAGCCAGCCGATATGAGGTCAGGGTTTTACAGCCCTTACTCCATTGTACCCAAGAAAGGCGGTGGGTTACGGCCAATCTTGGATCTGCCGGGCCCTTCATCGGCTACCGTTAAAGATATTGACGCAGAAACGCATCTTTGGGTGCGTCCGTCCCCGAGATTGGTTTGCAGCGATCGACCTGAAGGACGCGTACTTTCATGTGTCGATCCTTCCACGCCACAGACCATTTCTGCGGTTTGTGTTCGAAGGACGGGCATATCAGTACAAGGTCCTGCTCTTCGGGCTGTCCCCGTCTCCCTGTGTCTTCACGAAAGTCGCGGAGACGGCTCTTGTTCCCCTCAGAGAGCAGAGTGTTTGCGTCCTCAACTATCTAGATGATTGGCTTATACTAGCACAGTCGCAGGATCAGTTGTGCGAGCACAGGGACCTGGCCCCCCCGGCACCTCAGCCTGTTGGGCCTTCGGGTCAACTGGGAAAAGAGCAAACTCTCCCCGACGCAGAGGATCTCTTTTCTCGGTATGGAGTTGGATTCGGTCGAACAGACAGCGCGCCTCACAGAGGAACGTGCGCGGTTGGTGCTAGCCTGCTTGAATACGTTCAAGAGCAGGACAGCGGCCCCACTGATACTTTTTCAGAGGCTCCTGGGGCATATGGCAGCCGCAGCGGCACTTACACCGCTCGGCCTGTTACATATGAGACCGCTCCAGCACTGGCTTTATGGCCGAGTCCCGAAGTGGGCGTGGAAGCGCGGCACTCACCGGGTCCAAGACACACCGGCCTGTCGCCAAACCTTCACCCCGTGGTCAGATCTTGCGTTCCTCCGGGCAGGGGTGCCCCTAGAGCAGATCTCCAGGCATGCCGTGGTCTACACGGATGCCTCCACCACCGGGTGGGGTGCCACGTACAACGGGCATGCAGTCTCAGAGGTTTGGACGGGCCCGCAGCTGCACTGGCACATCATTTGCCTAGAGTTGTTGGCAGTGCGCCTTGCCTTGAACCATCTCAAAGGGCGCTTACGAGGCAAGCACGTACTGGTCCGAACGGACAACACAGCGACCGTTGCGTACATCAACCGACAGGGTGGTCTGCGCTCCCGTCGCATGTCGCAACTCGCCCGCCACCTCCTCCTCTGGAGTCAGAAGCATCTGAGGTCGTTTCGTGCTGTTCACATTCCTGGGCTGCTCAACCGGGCAGCCGACGAGCTGCTCAACCGTATGGCCGACAAGCTGTCTCGAGCTACGCTCTCGGGAAAATGGTGACTCCATCCTCAGACGGTCCAGCTGATTTGGAGACGTTTCAGGGCCGCTCAGGTAGACCTCTTTGCCTCTCCAGAAACCTCTTACTGCCAGTTGTTTTACTCCCTGACCGAGGGAACACTCGTCACGGACGCACTGGCACACAGCTGACCGCGGGGCCTACGCAAGTATGCGTTGCCCCCAGTGAGCCTTCTCACACAGACACTGTGCAAAATCCGGAAGGACGAGGAGTGAGTCTTGCTAGTGAAGCCGTATTGGCCCACTCGGACCTGGTTCCCCGAACTAGTGGTCCTCGCGACAGCCCCTCCTTGGCCGATTCCTCTGAGGAAGGATCTACTGACTCACAGACGGGGCACCCCTTGGCACCCGCGTCCAGACCTCTGGAAACTTCATGTCTGGTCCCTGGACGGGACGCGGCTAAGCTGGGCAACCCCCAACACATTCGCTAGATTCTATAGCCTCCGTGTGGAGCCGGATTCCTCCGGTGTTCTCACCTCAAATGGGTAGTGGCACCGAGATGCCCCGGTTAGTGTTGGCTTGCTAAAAACTGCTCCAGAGTGTCTGTACAGTAGACCCTGTTGAGATCCTCCATCACCCTCGGCAGCGGACACGGCGGAATGTCCGGCGCCGGGCCTTCACAATGAATCCGCGGGAACCGTGGAAGGCCGGGTTCCATATTGAGACCTAAGCGGTTCTCGTATGTGTATAATCCACGGTACTACTTGTCCCGAGCCCCGGCCTACACCAGATAGGGGCGCATTCGGCTCGCACAGGGCACTGGAAGTGGCAGCACCATGGCGCTTTGGTAGGGATCCCAATTCATCGGTCACCGACGTGACTCGCCACCGCTGAGCCGCCGGTTCACCGGTTCGGCTCCTCAGCGAAAACCTGGTATGCATTGTACCTGCTGCCTTATTATACTCGCGCTTAAAACACCACTCCTTACACAAATAGGTGTCACATTTGCAGAATTTACATCTGCGTCTGACATATGTTCTGGTGTTTTGTTGTGTGTAGAGCCGTAACTGTCCATGTTTAAGTAACACTGCGTATCTACCCCGAAATTCTATTGGCTGGTGATGTCGATGAAGATTACTTTCCCCGCAGATCTGCGACGGCTGATCCCTTGAGATCCGGATCACGGCACCAATTTTGTAGCGGACTTCGTCTCTCGCCACAAAGAACCCCACGACACCACTGGCTTCGGTGGACCACGTCTGCAGTTTATTAAAGACAGGACAAGGATTAACACCACGCAAACACACTCAGTTCTTTGGTCTGTGAGAGTTGCGAGAAGAGAGAAAAATGAACCCGTCCCCATTAACACTGTAACTGCAGCTGATTAACGACTCAAATTGTATATTTGTAGCCATGTATTATCTTTAAGACATAAAATGACAATATACTTATGACAAATTTAACTGCATGTTTTAAGAACATAATCCACCTTTTTAATTTTATTTAAGAACCAAAGTTAGCATAAAAATACCCCATTAAAAATGGCGCGGGCGGTAACTTGAACTAAATGATTAACAGCTCATTAACACGAAACTCACAATATACTGAAAAATAATGCCAAACAAACACACTATTTGACTCAATCCAGCATCAAAACATGTCTCCCACTGATATCAACCAACATTTTTACTCAATCTGATATATTTTAATACCATGTCACGGAGCACATATGCGGCATACCTGTGTCGCTCAAGTCCAAAGCTGTTCTGACGAGAGCGGGACGCGACTGGGCAATTCAATCAGAGGAAGTGACATCACACAACATACAACTCAATACATTATTTTAAAACAAAAATACACAGCTTCCATATACTTTTATAAGGTTATTAATAGAGAGACATGAAAATAAAAATAAAATAAATATAATTTATTTCTTGGAAAAAGTAAAGTTTGCTGGAACGGTCAAACCCAAAACACTACAAATGTCTCATTCAGAGTTCGTTGGCTTGCAGGTGCTTCTGCTTTCACAGGTTGTTTGGCGGATTTTCACTGGATGATGTCGAGCAAGATGCGTGCTCATGTTAGTCGTATTACCACAGTAGGATACCCGTAGACAACAGATTTTGCACGCTGCTTTAGACATGTCTAGCTGTTCATTCCCTGGTAATTTGTGAAATCCGAAGTGTTTCCACACTTTGGATTTAAAGTGTGATGGTGCAGGTGGTATATCTCTAGCTGTCATTCCATTCGACATTTTTTACTTTCTCGTGTTCACTTCACTAGTAAGAGATATGACGTCATGTAATACTCATCGATATAACACATCACCCTCTGCTGAAATAAAAGAGGTAACTTTCCTCCGCCTCGTATATAAGCAAGGAATAAAATAAAGCAATGCAAGTGTAAATAGAAATAGAATGTAATAAAATGTAAATAAAAAAATTGCGATAGTTAGGTGAATCGATTTTTTGTCCCATCCCTAATCGCAATACTTGTAGAATCAAATTTATTAAAAAAATAAAATAAAAATCGCAATACATATCGTATTGGCACCCACGTATCGTGATAGTATCAAATCCGGAGGTAGGTGTATCGTCCCATCCCTACTAGCCACAGGAGTACATATGCACGAAAGAAAATAAAAAGCCTCATGGTGAAGCATAAAGAGGTCAAGGATGCAAGTAAAAGAAGTAGTGTTGGTGTCAATCAGACAATTTTTCTTATTATATGCTTTAACAAAGAACAAACAGGGTATCATGACTTTACATATGTGTCTTTAAGTGTGAATGCAAAAAATGTATTTAGTACACTGAGTACAACTGAATTGTCTTTGAGAAAGAATACACAGATGATTGTAGAAATTGCTCCTTTTCCTAATCCTCTTGTCACTCTGGGGAAAACAGTAATTTCTTACCCAGAATAAGTTCGCAAATTGCATTTCATGCTGCTTTGACAAACTCTTCTCAAACTGAAGACACTAGCAATGTCTCTCTCCACTGTGACTCTCAAGGTTTGCATTGTTTGTGAAACTCTTTCCACAGTGATGGCACATAAAAGGCTTTTTTCCGATGAGAATTTGAATGATTCTCACAGTGATTCCTGTCTATTCGCACTAATGACAATTAACATTTTTCTGTCTTGAGTGAATCTTCATGTGGTTTTTAAGGTTTTCTTTACGTGTGAAGCCCTTCCCACACAGTTTGCAGGTGAAAGGACTCTCTCCAGTGTGAATTCTCATGTGGGCATTAAGGAGTTTGTTCTCCGTAAAACTCTTTCCACACTGATCACATACAGATGGCTTCTCTCCAGTGTGAGTTCTCATGTGAACCTTAAGACCGTTATTAAATGAGAAACTCTTCCCACACAGTTTGCAGGTGAAAGGTTTCTCTCCAGTGTGAATTCTAATGTGAATCTTAAGGCTTCCTTTATACCTGAAACTCTTTCCACACTGAGGGCAGATGTAAGGTTTCTCTCCAGTGTGAATAATCATGTGGGTATTAAGGCAGTGTTTCTGTGTAAAACTCTTTCCACACTGAGGGCACATTAACGGCTTCTTTTCAGTGTGATTCATCATGTGAACCTTAAGACCGTTATTTAATGAGAAACTCTTCCCGCACAGTTTGCAGGTATAAGGTCTCTCTCCAGTGTGAATTCTCATGTGGGTATTAAGGCAGTTTTTCTGTGTAAAACTCTTTCCACACTGATCACATACAAATGGCTTCTCTCCAGTGTGAGTTCTCATGTGAACCTTAAGACCGTTATTGAATGAGAAACTCTTCCCACACAATTTGCAGGTGAAAGGCTTCTCTCCAGTGTGAACTCTCATGTGAGTCTTGAGTTTTCCTTTACACGTGAAATTCTTCCCACACTGAGGGCAGGTGAAAGGCTTCTCTCCAGTGTGAATTCTCATGTGGACAGCGAGGTATTTTTTCTGTGTAAAACCGTTTCCACACTGAGGGCAGGTGAACGGCTTCTCTCCAGTGTGAACTCTCATGTGAGTCTTAAGTTTTCCTTTCCACGTGAAATTCTTCCCACACTGAGGGCAGGTGAACGGCTTCTCTCCAGTGTGAATTCTCATGTGGACAGTGAGGTATTTTTTCTGTGTAAAACCGTTTCCACACTGAGGGCAGGTGAAAGGACTCTCTCCAGTGTGAATTCTCATGTGGACAGTGAGGTATTTTTTCTGTGTAAAACTCTTTCCACACTGATCACATACAAATGGCTTCTCTCCAGTGTGAGTTCTCATGTGAGTCTCAAGGCTTCCTTTCCACGTGAAATTCTTTCCACACTGAGGGCAGGTGAACGGCTTCTCTCCAGTGTGAATTATCATGTTGGAATTAAGGTTTGTAGTTTGTGTTTTTTGAGCTTGTGAGGGAGTCTTTTTAGTCTGGGAGCAACTAATTGATTTTTCTTCAGTTTTGAAATCATGCTGTTTCGCATTCTGATCTTTCTCGTCTGTTTCATTCAGTTCTTGACTCTCCTCATTCATCGCCATCAGGTCTGAGGTGAAAACAGACAAATAAAAAGTTAAAACCAGTTTAATGTTACAAAGCAACAGACATTCTAACATTTAGTCTAGTGCTATCAATCAATTAAAAAAACAATTTCACATTAAATGTAAAACTAATTAAATTAATGTACAACCCGAATTCCAGAAATGTTGGGACCTTTTTTAAATCGGAGTGTCTATTTACACTAAGTGCAAATAGCCCGCCTTGTTGGCAGAGGCTATTTACACTAGTTCCACCCACAAACGTGTGATACGGATGGTCAGCACTATAAAAGACTGCCGACAATCATCAGCTTCAGTAGTGTAGATAGTAAAGCGTGTACCGTAGTCTTTTTGATGCGATCGACCCGGGTTCGAATCGCCTTTTACCACATTTTTTTTCTCCCTTTTCAAATCTCATATCACATCGGAAATACATTTATTTTCAATAAAAATGAAGGAAATAATAAAAAAGTTTAAAATAAAGTATCGGGTAGGTGTAGCGAGGGCTTTATTGTCCCAATAAGGTGGCATCCATTTAATCATTTTAATTAAAATTATAATTCACACTCAATACGTTATTACTGCATACTGTTTTATAATGTACTATAATACTGAGGTGTAGATAATTGACACTATTTGCAAAAAATCCTGCTATTTTAACAGTGTAAATAGAATCTATCGCTATCTGCGCTTAGCAGTATTTTTAACAATATGCTATTTACACTATTTTCACTTAGTGTAAATAGAATCCATTACTATTTGTATTTAGTGTAAATAGCATCTATCGCTAAGAAAATATGCTATTTTCAGTGTAAATAGCCACTGCCTTTTTAAATTAGAATAAAATGAAAACTAAAAGAATTTCAAATCACATGAGCCAATATTTTTATGCACAAAATGAGCTCATTTAAAATTTGATGCCTGCTACAGGTCTCAAAATAGTTGGGACGGGGGCATGTTTACCATGGTGTAGCATCTCCTCTTCTTTTAAAAACAATTTGAAGACGTCTGGGCATCGAGGTTATGAGTTTCTGTTGTTTTGGTGTTGGAATTTGGTCCCATTCTTGCCTGATATAGGTTTCCAGCTGCTGAAGAGTTCGTGGTCATCTTTGACGTATTTTTCGTTTAGTGATGCACCAAATGTTTTCTATAGGTGAAAGATCTGGACTGCAGGCAGGCCAATTCAGCACCTGGACTCTTCTACTACGAAGCCATGCTGTTGTAATAGCTGCAGTATGTTGTTTTGCATTGTACTAAGATCTGGACTGCAGGCAGGCCAATTCAACACCTGGACTCTTCTACTACGAAGCCATGCTGTTGTAATAGCTGCAGTATGTGGTTTTGCATTGTCCTACTGAAATACACAAGGCCTTCCCTGAAATAGACGTCGTCTGGAGGGGAGCATATGTTGCTCTAAAACCTTTATATACCTTTTTAGCATTCATGAGCTCATTTAGTGGATAAAAGTGTAAAACTTCTCAGCTTAAACATTTGTTATGTTCTCTATGTTTTATTGTGAATAAAATATTGGCTCATGTGATTTGAAAGTCTTTTAGTTTTATATACAGTGGGTACGGAAAGTATTCAGACCCCCTTCAATTTTTCTCTCTTTGTTATATTGCAGCCATTTGCTAAAATCATTTAAGTTAATTTTTTTTCCTCATTAAATGGTCCTAAGTATTCAGACCCTTTACTGTGACACTCATATATTTAATACTCCCACTCGAAGGGAGTAGGGCATAGGGATGATCACTTCCAGTTGGAATTTACTCCGTGAACCCTTTGGTACGAAAACACGTACCGTTACACCCCTAATATACATATATATATATATACACTGAACAAAATTATAAAACGCAACACTTTTGTTTTTGCCCCCATTTTTCATGAGCTGAACTCAAATATCTAAGACTTTTTCTATTTACACAAAAGGCCTATTTCTCTCAAATATTGTTCACAAATCTGTCTAAATCTGTGTTAGTGAGCACTTCTCCTTT